ACTACATACATATACATATATATATACATATGTGTGTGTTTGTGTGTGTGTGTGTGTTATGCACTCGGGCTTGGCTATTGTTCGCCTGACACCCAGTGAAAATGTAATGTATGAGAAAAGAAAGAAACAAAATATGTTTATATACAGCACAGAAAAAATTAGAACTTTATTTATTTTAGTAATAATTATGAAATTTAGCGTTAAAAATCCAACATAGTTTCTTCCATTTCTCACTTTAATTAACATTTAAACTCAGACTTATATAAACATGGTTTTGAAACACAATAACACAGATACAGCAACATTACAGTTCTATTTGTCTGACACAGAAAAATGAACAAAATATTAACCCTATTAAACACACAGACACAAAAATGTTCCTAGAATAGTGCTTTGGCTCAGGAGTTGTTACCTGATCAATTTCTTATTGATCGGTTGGTTTACTAACTTAAAACAAGTTTAAAATCTTTCAAAAAACAAAATTAAGTTTATAAATCAGCAGTGCATTTTCAACATATTTTTAGTTTATAAGGTTTATTAGTTTTTCTGTTCAACTGAACAAGGACTGAAAAACTTTAGTATTTGGGAATTTTAGATGGATGATAAGCTTTTGCTTACTTCACTTAACGAAGTTTTGACTGAATAAAGTTTTTCAAGTTGAACCACTGACTATTTAAACATGAATCACTGACATAACAGACATCAAGTTCCTCCATGATGAAGCACTTTGACCTCATGATCTCCTCAGTTACATGTTGAGCAACTTCTGGATTAGTTTTGATTGGATCATTTCCTAAGTCTGGACCTCAACCAAGATCCAAGGGATTCCTGTTGGCAGACATCAGTTAGTGTTCTTCTTCTGTTCCAACAGAATTCATCACAGCTGTAAAAACTACAGTCTCTAAACTTGGAAGACAGATTTAAAGTGTTTGTCCCAACACCCTCAGCTGCCCTGTAATATTAGTTTGGTTTCTATAGAGCAACATATAAAGTTCAGTGATGATAAGATTAAAGGTTTATCATAGAACTTCATCAGATTCATGCTGTTAGAATGATGAGAAAATAAAAGAAATAAAGTAACACAGACAGGCTGCTCAGATGTTCATTCTGAAAGCAAAAAGAACCAAGTCTGCGTGAACTCCAAGTCAGTTTTTAAAATAACAAATTGTTAGATCCCCCCAGAGTATGAGGAAGTAACAACAATAAGTATGGAGCTAAGAAACAAACCCGACCAGAATTCTTAAAATAATGTCCAACCATCCTTCTTCTGCTTATCCGGGGCCACGGGATAAACAATGACTTAAAAATCTAAGTAGATGGCTAAGAGGCTATGGCTAAAGAAAAGAAATTAATGGATGTTGGAAAGAAAATTAATCTTTAGCAAACAAACCAAAGGACATCTAAGGTGAGTGTAAGATGATTCCCAATCATGCTTCAGTAAGAAATGTACCCATGATGCACATGTAGGAACCTGTTACATAAAACATGTAGAAAAGAGAGATAATAGCAGGTGTTTCATTTGACAAAGATTTACCTCATTTTTCTCCTCCTCGAGCTGCTTTACCAACTGGAAGACAGAAGATAGATAAAAACTAAGATCAAAGCCATGAAAAGGAAGTTAAAGACGTTTTTTGGAAGAAAAAAAAATCCACACTTCACTAAAGCTCCAGTTAAAGCTCCAATTTATTTAAATACAACTGTATTGTATTACTGCTTAATGCAAATAAACAAAAACTCCAGAGAATCAATTGAATGTAAAACAAACACTGAAACATTTAAATTTCCATGTAACTCCTCCCAACAACAGTTTAAAGTCTTGTCTGTTTATAATTTCTCTGTTTTATTACAGTGGAGTTGTAATATGTTTTGGTTTATTATGACCTGAATATTGCCTAAAATATTGCTGCTCACAGCTTGTGAACATCTGCTCTGCCACCTCATAGCACCTCTCAGTCTGTAAACCTGAGCCCACCAAGAAAAATCTAAATCAAAAAGGTTACAATGTCAGACATCAGCTGTTAGTCAGTTGAACCACCAGTGCACATGACTCTAACAGCTCCACACTCCATAAAGTGTTCTGCAGACCTTAAAGCTAACAGGTGGAGTTTCCTGTTTCATCATTGAAGAACCACTGACTGCTTCAGAGACAGACAGTGAAAGTGGGAAGGATATCCTTGTTTTTTCTTTTCAGCATGAAACTCATTGTTGCAGCTATAGTTCGCTAAAAAAACTAATGTCAGTCTATTAGCACCAACCAACCAAACCAGTGATGTACTCACCTAAGATGGATCTACACATATTCTAACAAACTATAACAGAGAACACTTATTCCTTAAATCCAGCCTTACAGACAGAGTTAAATCTGCTTTAACATTGTCTGCAGTTTTTGAGGGTTTGGCTCCATGGTTTAATATTTCATGTCTACATTAAAGTCAGAGTTTTCTGTAGACATATGTGTCTCTCTTTTTATCTGGTAATCGTACCTTACTAAAACCACTGAATGGTCAGTGTGCATCCATTAATTGTGTGATGCAAAAACATATAAATACTGCTGAGTCTCTTTTACACTGCAGCTATTAGAACACAAGTCACACAGCAAGAATATTTGTTCAGTCTAATTGTCTGTGAAGGTTCTCAGTCATCCAGGTCATCGTGGTCAAAAGAGCTTGCAAAGAAAAGCGTCTGGACTTCTTTAAGTTACTTGAAGACATTTCACCTATCATCCGAGAAGCTTCTTCAGTCTAATTAAATTCACTTGTGTGTGCAATTTCTCTTTTATCAGACTGTGGGGCAGTGACCTTTATTGTTTAAATGGATCCAGTACAAATCTAATGTGCAGTCGTCACCTTAGACAGAAACACAGAGAGTGCTTAGAGATAAAATAATGAACTGGAATTAAAATGTTTCTTTGACTGGTTTGTGTGGTAAATATCCAAGTTAATAGTTTTCTGTATTTGTGTTTGAAACACTTTTGCATTTGGATTTTATGTTTTTTTTATGTTTAGAATGAAATTCAGGAGGATTATAACAGAGAGATGAAATCCCTAATTTCTGGACTTTAGTTTTTTCAGCTGATTGTATAAATCTTAATACTTTTCCTTTAAAAGCAGGTGAGAGGACACGTGACTGGAGACGTGCTCTTTTATAAGACATGATACAACAATACATTCACAAACGTGTGAAGTTGTATAAAGTGCTTTGAGCGCTCAGACAGAGTAGAAAAGCGCTATATAAGAACCAGTCCATTTACCATTTACCATTTACAAACGTCAATAAAGAAAAAAAAATCTGTTTAAATGTGAATTAAAATGTGTGTTATGTAAATATAAAGTGGTTGATGATGTTTTTAAGTTTCAAGTTTGAAAACAGTGAGAACAAACTTGAACTTCACTAACAGTTATTTGGTGTCTGAGGTTTGTTCTCATGTGTGATTGTAACCTGAACACGTAGAAAACAGAGATAATAGCAGGTGATTGATTTGGGTGACAAAGATTTACCTCATTGAGATTTTGCTCAGTTTTCTTCTTCTTCTCCTCGAGCTGCTTTACCAACTAAAGGACAGAAGAGAGATGAAGAAAAAGATCACAGCTATGAACTGAAATATGTTTTTGTGGTGGGAAATTTATTTTTGTAAAAAAATTCCAAATTTGGATTGAATACAAAGAGATAAAAGAGAGATGACAGCAGCGAACTGCTTTGGGTGAAAAGATTTACCTCTTTGAGTTTTCTGTCAGTTTCATAATTTCTCGTCTTCTCAGCCCAGAGCATCTTTTCCAAATAGCAGAGGAGAGAAATGAAAACATCAGTATATTTTTAATGGAAATATTGTTTTAATCACTTTTGCAATATTCTAATTTATTTAGATTAGTTTATTTCTTAATGTAGTAAAACAGATTCATTCTTATAGATCACCAGTCAAAGGTTTTAGAACACATGTTATTTTTAAATGTTTAACTGACATTTAATGAGCTCCTTGATTATTATTAACACATGCTTTTTATTGTCTGTCTTAGTTAGTTAGTTAGTTAGTTAGTTAGTTTTTGATGGATGGATATTTATGGGTTTGTTGGTTGGTTTATGCTGGAATGTAAAATCATCTGCTTCGGTAAATACAAATTCCTTATTTACAAAAATAATAATCCAAAAAAAGTTTAAATTCTAAAATTTTCTTTACATTACAGTAATAAACAAAGTTGAATAAACAAATTTAGGAAGCTGATAAAGGAAAGATGAACCTCATCAACTTTAACTGGTCCCTCAAATCCTACATTTTCCTCTCAGCATCTCGTCTTCTCTTTGTCCTGATGAAGCTGATGCTAATTATAGAATCATTTTCCTGTAACTGCACATTAAACAACATGGAAAAAAGTCTCATGCGTTGACATTTTGTGAGCGCTTTCTGTCATTTTTCAGGCCTGCTTATAGAAAAATATGACTAAAATAACTCATGTATTTGAATTTTAATAAAAGTTATTTAATTAAAAGCCTCCCATCTATCAATTTTCTTACACTGATCCAATTTACATAAATCAATTCATTAATCAATGACTTTATTTAAATATGAGTACTGGAAACAGTATTGAAAACAAAGATTGTCAGTACTGTGGTTCAGGGGAAGGCTGCAAAAACATCTCTCAGAGGTTTGAACTCAGTTTCATCTATAAGGACAATAATCAGGAAATAGAAGAGCACAGGCACAGCTGTGGTTGAACTCAGGTCAGGCCAAGAAAATTACAGGAGCTGCATATGCAGCGCACTGTCAAAATAAATCGCCTCCAAAACCCTGCAGAGCATCTTGCTGCAGATGTGTATTTGTACATATGTATGGGAGGGTAATGAAAAGAAGCCCTTTCTCAATTCACACCACAAACAGAATCGCTTGTTGTATAAAAGCTCACTTAGATGAGAAGGATTGACAGACTGGTGCTGTGGAAGAATAACACCACATTCCCCTGACATGGATGTCATTGAGAATTTGTGGGATAATTTGAAGCAGGCTGTTGATGCTTTTTTGCTTTTTTGTATGGAAGAAGGATCAAACATGCCTTCATCTAGGATCCAGACACTCATCAAAGACTATCTGAGGTGTCTTGAGTTATATTTGCAAATGAAGCTCAATGAAGTGTTGATGTAATATCTGTTGGGGCTCCTAAATTTATGCACCGTCTAACTTTGTTATAATTGTTGAAATTTTGTTGTTGTAATTGTTGTGATTTTTTTATGACACATATTATTTGTTAATATAATAAACTGTCACTGTTGAAACGATACAGTTTCCATAATGACAGATCAGCCAACGATAAACCAAAATCCAAAAACTGAACAGAGGTTTCCTTTTATCTATGACTGTGTGTTTACACTAAATAATGAGACATTATGATCATCTGGATCTTTGCATCAAGGAGTTTTCTCTAACTGGACTCTCTAAATTTCACTTTAATAATAATAATAATAAATCAGTGTGTGGTGGGGTAATGTTAATTTATATTGTACAGTTTGATGTAAATACTGACACTAACTGTATATGTTCTGAATGACAATAATGTGGCTATTCTGTGTTACCAAAGAGAGCCGAGTCAGCAGATTCTCATTGAGTATAAAGGAAACACAAACCTCCCAATTTTTGGACTCCACCTGCTTCTTCAGATTCTCTGCTCTGTCTTTCACCTCCTGGAGCTGATCGATGTTGTTACTATCTGTCTCACCCTGGAGCTGAAATGTTACATGAGGAAAGAGCAGAAGAAAGAGACGATCATGTTTAAGACAATAATAACACAACCAGAGTCAAATAAAAGCTGTATTATGTCAATATTGTTCATCAGTGCTGCTGATTTAATGAATTATGTAAAACGCTGCATCCAGATGATTTAAATTTAATATAAATTTATTCATTTATATTGAAGAGTCTGACGGTGAGTAAATATTGATGTATGTAATTATTCTATTCATAAATAGAGTTCAGTAAAGTCAGTAAATTCAGAATGTTTATAACAGAAAGACAAACCTGAAGCTGCTTCAGCTTCTCTGCTGTTTTTTTGTCCTGCTGGAGCTGTTTGATGATTTCACTATCTGTCTTACCCTGGAGCTGAAATATTACAGGAAAGAGCAGAAGGAAGAAATGTTCATGTTTAAGACACAATCATGATCACACAACCAGAGTTCAATTAAATTTGTAAATAAAAGCTGTATTATGAAAATATAAGTTGGAAAATATAAATAAATATTTGTAAATAACTGAAGATGGTAAGGAAATATCTTAATATCTTATCTCAATGTAGTGTCTCTAAAACTAAAACCAGGTTTTACTTTTTACTTACTAATACTATGCAGGCACAGCCCATTGTTCATCAGTGCTGCTGATTTAATGAATTATGTAAAAAGCTGCGTCCAGATGAACAGAATCAACTTTCTGGGAATATGCGTGGACAATTTTTCATATATACTTACATATATATGTCCTGGATTTTTTTTTATTTAACTGAGACACAGAGATTTCAATTTAATATAAATGTATTCATTTATATTAAAGAGTCTGACGATGAGTAAATATTGATGTGTGCAATTACTCTATTCATCAATAGAGTTGGGTCAGTAAATTCAGAATGTTTATAACAGAAAGACAAACCTGAAGCTGCTCCACCTGCTCTGCTGTTTCTTTGTCCTGCTCGAGCTGTTTGATGATTTCATCTGTCTTACCCTGAAATGTTATATGAAGAAAGAGCAGACGGAAGAAATGTTCACGTTTAAGACACAATATTAATAACACAAAAGGATTTAAATAAAGCTAGAAATAAAATCTGTATTATGTAAATATAAGCTGGATAATATAAATTAATATTTGTAAATAACACTAAGGAAATATCTTAGTTTCAATTTAGAGTTTCTAAAACTAAAACCAGCTTTTACTTTTCCCTTACTAATAATATGCACACTGTGGGAATTATATCATTTTTATATCATGTTTACACACACAGACATCACATAAATTTATTTCTAGGGTAAAGGTGAAACATATTTTGCTTTATGCTTGCTTAGCAACTAGTGATGCAGAAGGTGTTAAAGATAAGCATGCCATGAATAAGTCGACAGGAAACATCTGGAGGGTGAGACAGCCATATAGGGCAAAATGTTGTTGAACACGGAAACTTGTTTAAATGTCATTAATTATAACTTATGCCTGTTATATTCTTTATTGACGCGAGAAGGGGCGTGAACCCTGACATAATAAAACTATTTTAAAAGTATGCTTTGAGCGGAGATGTAGTAGACAATGTAGTGCTGTGTATCTTCCCACACGTGTGTTTAATAAATTGAATAAATGCTTTAATAAAAAGGATATAGGAGAATAAACATGATATAAAAGTTATATAATTCCCACAACTCATCAGTTCTGCTGATTTTTTTTTAAATTAATTATATAAATCTACGGTTCATAAGATTGGGAAACCTGCAGTCAGCTGAAACTGAAGAAGTTACTTGGATGAGTGACAAAACGTTTCTCCCACTGAAAACGTTACATCCTGATGAACAGAATCAACCTTTTGGGATTATGCATGCACACTGTTTTTTCTTATATTCTTACATGTATATATCTGGGTTTTTTTTTTATAATTGAGATGCTAAGATTTTGATTTATTGATTCATTTATAATGTACAGTCTGATGGTGAGTAAATATTGATGTGTGCGATTATTCTATTCATAAAGAGAGTTGGGTCAGTAAATTCAAAGTGTTTATAATGGAAACACAAACCTCCTGATTCTTCTTCTCCAGCTGCTTCAGTTTCTCTGCTGTTTCTTTCACCTCCTGAAG